TTTATTTACGAAATAGATCAGATAAATTGTGTAATTAAAACATCTTTTTTAAAATTAAGACAATAACAGTTTAATTTATTTTAAATAAGACATTAATACTACTCTTTGTTCAAACATTTGATCAGAAAGTTTGTAAGATTTTGGTAAGTTAATCATTAAAGCATATGAGAACAATCAATCGAAATAAAGGTGCACGCCGCCGCCAAGAGACTAGATAAGGGATAGGTAGCTGTGTAGGTACTGGTAACGAGGCACACACTTACACACTCATAAATTCATGGCAAATTTTACACTAAAACTTTGTTTGTGTTGTACAACAAGCTAATAACCGCTCAATTTTAGTAGTTTATTATGTTAGGTACCCTTAAAAAGTAATTGAGTAATTTGATTTACAAACTAATGTAATTTAAATTACTTCGGACGTAAGTAATTGAATTACAGTAATTTCAATTTAAGTAATTCAATTACTATTCATTGAATTAGTAATTAAATTACAAAAGTAATTAAGTAATTACGCCCAACACTGGTATGAATCCGCCGCTAGTGGCGCTAGTGTAGCGTGAGGTCTCCGAAAAGTCAAATGTTATTGCTTGTGGGTTGACTATGCGGGTATATTTCTAATTAATAAAAATAATGTTGTGAATATTTGGTAATAGCTCGGCTTAGTTATGTAAAATATGAGTTACGTTATTTGGCAATGAATGTCAGTTATTTAAAAGCTGAGTTAAGAAAAAATATTACCTTCTTTTTTCCGAACAAAACCGAAGTGCGCATCACTGTGGCATGGCCGATTAGCTTAGGATACGGTTCTTTTGTATTAAAATATGATTTAAATGAAAACTTTGATTTCACGCGCGTATTAATAAACTTTAAAAGTTGCAATTCAGGACCTCACTGAAGTGGCGCCATCTGATGAGATAGAAAACGGTAGCGCTCATTATAATGCTGTATATATCTGTATTATAGTTTGATATGGAATAAATAACAAAATAGTAATTACTAGTAAACCAGTGAACCAAATGTTCACCAAAACCTAAAAAAAAAATGTATTTAATTAATTGAGAACTTCGGAGATTTTGTGTGGTTTCGTTTGAAATTCGTGATTTCTCGAAAACCGGAAGTGCTACGTTACTCAAATCCGGTTTGTAGTCTTATCAGACTATTCTTAACTTATAGCTTAAATATTCTCTTTATCTATCTCTTACGGTTTGGCCGCTGAAACAGCACCACAGACAGACGGACGGACGGACTTGTCTAATAGATAAGAGATTATAGTAATACCAGTCTATAGGCATTCAAAAATAAAAGAAAATATTAAAGAAACTAAAACGTCTACATATATCACAAATCAATTAAAAAAAAACAAGTTACAATTAGATATTAAACTAAAACTACACTTAAACTAGACAAAAATTAAAAATATAAGTCGGCAAAGGTTTCCAGGACGCTGGCGGCATTTCCCCGCTGAATGGCGAGGCTTATGCGCTGGGAGAAATAGCCGCCAGCTCTGCGGTCTCCAGTGGTCTCCACCAATCTTTTTGCGATATCTTTGAAAAGATAGTGGGCACAGGAGCCCCAGAGTCCCTGGGTCTCGACTCCAAACGCCGCAAATGTGAGGTCTACACTGAGGCAATCATACTTGCGGCGCTTAAGGGCCTCTGCGGTCGAAGCAGCCGCTTATATAAGGACATGGTCTATAAGGTTTTTTTTAATGTTGCTTCTCAATTTGTTTACAATTGCACACTTCTTGTTAAAAGTAATATTTATTTATTTATTTATTAGGACCACCAGGGAAAGTTACATTAAATCTTATTTTTAAACATTATAGTGATACATACAAAATGCAAAATTCTATTAAAGGTAGCCACATCATGCTTAAGAGACAGTACGAACGGATGAATTTTAATTAAATAAACAAACAGAAACACAAACCGAAACCACATGTAAACAATGAAGTTTATGAACTATTAGTGGCTTTGAAACTATAGATAATAGAAAACGAATATATATAATTACTCGATATAACAAATTTAACGACAAAAATAAAAATAAATGCCAACTATGAATGCCTACGCATCTCTTAATAACTCTGAAACTTTAGTCCTGAATCGTAGAAAAGAGTCATGGAAGATATCAACACTCTCACTTAGCTTGTTGTGAGCTTCGGGCAAGCGATATGATGCAGAGTGTGTTAATATATTTGTGCGAGCGATTGGTTTGCTGAATGTTGGTACAGGATAGCGTGGTGGTTTACGGGGAACTCTAATATTTATCTTACTGAGAAATTGTGGGCAATCAACTACATTTCTGACAACTTTAAATAAAAATGTGATGTCCAAAATATTTCTCCTAGTGAGAAGACTGTCCATATTAAAATACTGAAGTCTTTGGCTGTAGTTGGCAGATTTTGTATTCAGCCTACTACTGAATGTGAGATGTCTAGTAAAGCGTTTCTGAATGCGTTCAATACGAAGCTGATGTATACTGTACTGAGGAGACCAAATAACTGAACAGTACTCTAAGGTGCTTCTAACAAAGCTGTTATAAATCAAAACCTTTGTTGAGGGATTTCTGAATACTTTGACATTTCTCATAATGAATCCTAGAGTTTTTGAGGCTCGAGTAATAATGTTATCTATATGTGGAGTAAATGTTAATTTAGAATCTATTATTACACCCAGATCTCGAATAGTATTTACCTCCTCTAACACAGCATCACTTACTTTATATTGTGACTCAAAATTGTGAGACTTGCGGGATAACTTTATATGATAACATTTATTAATATTGAGAGACATTTAATTTATCTTGCACCATTCCACTAAGCTATCAATGTCCGATTGTAGGAGTTTAGCGTCCTCATCACAGTGAATAACTTTTATTAGTTTGAGATCATCTGCATATAAAAAAACATCACTGTGCTTAATTACATCTACAACGTCATTAATGAAAACATTGAAAAACAATGGTCCTATATGAGAACCCTGAGGTATACCTGATGTGGATAAATATTGATCTGAACGGAAACCCTTTACAACCACGTATTGAGAACGATTAGTTAAATATGTATGCAACCACATCAATAAAGAACCGGTGAATCCATATTTTGAGAGCTTGTTTACTAATATTTTGTGACAAACCTTGTCAAATGCCCTGGAAAAGTCAGCATAGACAGCATCGCTTTGCAACTGGGAGTCCATATTGTTAACAATGAGATTAGGGAAAGCGATGAGATTTGTGCTGGTAGACCTAGATCTCAAGAATCCATGCTGGCGATCAGTAATAAGATGTTTTATTTGGGCGTAAAGATGTGGATATATTAGCGCTTCAAATATTTTTGGTATAACTGATAAGATTGAGATTGGTCTATAATTAGCAATATTGTTTTTGTCACCGCTTTTGTAAATTGGTACAACCTTAGCAATTTTCCAAGATATAGGAAACCGACCAGAACTAAGAGATTTATTGAATATTATGTACAAAGGAAGAACGAGTGAATCCGCACATCGGCGAATGAAATAAGGAGGAATGTCATCAGGACCAGGGCTCTTCGTGCAATCAAGTCTTTTTAACCGAGTGCGGATGGACTCCATTGTAAGATGTAATTTTGAGATACTGCAAGATTCTGAGTTGTTATTAGTTAGAGACTCCCTTGGGGCATCATCACTTACTTTACTTTTGTTGGAATAAACGGAACTGAAGCTTTTTGCAAAAAGATTACAGATATCAGGCCCAGCAGATGCTGTTTGATCGTTATGAATCATTTCAGTGGGATAGTGAGGACCTGACTTACTTTTGTCTTTCATATAAGTCCAAAAATATTTTGGGTTGCTGCTGATGTTTAGTTCAATATTATGAATATATTTCTTATAACATCGAGTAGTCAATGCAGCACATCGTTTTCCTATTATTAACAGAGAAATGTGGTCAAGAGGATTTTTGTGGATTTTGTATTTGTTTACTAATCTACATTTATCTTTCAAAAGTTTGATAAGGGTTTTAGGGAACCCATGAGGGTATTTATTATTGCTTTTTTTGCACCGTGGAACGTATTTATAATAAATAAATAAATAGGTATAAATAGAGACCTACTTACATAATCTTTTATGTCAAACACAGTAACGTACAAAAATTTTAACACAAGGAATAAAAACACACATGTATTGCAACTATACAGGCTACAGAAGGTTTATAGATATTTTATGGGTCAGGGCTTACATTTCTACAATAAAATTCCTAATGATAGGGATCGAGGTAACTTCATTCGATTGTTAAAATTAATTATAACAATTTGATAACAATCTGATCACTTTTTTATGGATTGAATAGGGAGATTATGTCACCATGCGGGCCTAGTGCGGATTGGTGACGTTCCTTCAAAAGCCCGTGATAATTTTTGATCATCCATACATAAGTACGGACGGTCTTTACGAAATTGTGGACCACGCTAATCTCTGCGCCATTGAGTTATTCCAAGCCGAGGAATAAATAAAATATATAAAATATAAATATTTCCAACACTCACACCAATTAGCCTAGCCCCAAAGTAAGCACTGAAGGCTTGTGTTATGGGATGCTAGGGTAACGGATAGAATACATATACTGTACATATATAAGTATATTTACATAGAAATACATATTAAACAAACATGACTGGAGTACAAATGCTCGTATTCATCACACAAACATCTGCCCCCGCCGGGTTCGAAGCCTCTAGAGTCGGTGACACCATGAAACCCGGCGTACAAACCACTCTGCCACGGAGGTCGTCAAAATAAAATAGATTTATTTAAAAACTGTCACTTCATTCATACAGCGATCTAATATAAAACCTAGCACACATCTCAAACGTGTCGCTTCGCATATTACATCTTATAGCGTACAGCATACCTAATTAATATAAAATCAGACGAGGGTAAAGCGGATGCAGTGTAGCATTGTAGACAACGCAGAGCGGACATATTTGAATACATTAAAATTATATTAATGTTTTGACAAAAGTTTAGTAATATTAATGGCAAGTGTTAACTAGAGATATTTAATAAACAGTGAGTATTAGTGTTTTAGTCGGTTTTTGTGTAAGCTGTGTTTACTACCAGAAAAAAGTTTAGGTAGCATTTTTTTTTTGTCTTTGACTGTTTTCGTTTTACACAGAAATTCCGCCAATGTCCCGTAGTGAGCATTAAAAAAAATATGTTCAGTTTTCTTTGACGGTGTCTAGGTAAGTATTACTTATCTGTGATGTTTGGAGTATCTGTTTTAATAATTAATAAGTAATTAAAAAATAATTTAAGCCTGAAATAGCACTTCATTTAACTAGGGTGATACAGATTTAAAAATAAACTTAGTAATAGCTAAAGTTCCTAAAATAATATATAATACTAGCTGTCCCAGCGAACTTCGTATCGCCATAAAAAAATAGGGGTTGGTGGTAGAAAGGTGAAAATTTAGGATTGTATGTATTTTTGAATGATGTATCATAAAAAAATTAAAAAAAATCTAAAATTGAAAAAAAAAAATTAGGGGTGGATTAACATTTAGGGGGATGAAAAATATATGTTGTCCGATTCTCAGACCTACCTAATATGCACACAAAATTTAATGAGAACCCGATTCTCCGTTTCGGAGGAGTTTAACCACAAACACCGCGACACAAGAATTTTATATACTAGATAAACACACAAAATAGATTAAAACTACTAAATAAACTAAATACTTATACCAAACTAAAAATACAACTATATTATGTAAAAAATCGACCTCAAATCGCTGCGCTCGCAGGGTATGGTGCCCAAGTGAGGCTGGCGGCATTTCCCCGTTGAATGACCAGGCTCAACCTTTGAAAATAAAAAAAAATCAATATAAAATTATCTTGAATTTGGAATTGGGTATTTCTTTTGAAAACGTTTTTGGCAGTTCATTTTTTTTCTTTAAAATGATGTCGGTTAAAGATGTAAGTATGTCTTTTAAAATATCTGCGCAAATGTTGTATCGTATGTATACCAACAATCCTGTTGGAAAGCCTAGAAGGCCTGGCCTGGAAGGCCTAGAAGCCTGCGCAATAGCAACTTTACATACAAAAGAGAAGCTCGACTGCGCAGGTGGTTAGCGCGTTCGGCTGCGATCGTTTGAAGTTAAGCACCTTTCGCAGTGGTCGGTCATTGGATGGGTAACCAAAAATCTTCTATCTCGAGTTCCTCCGTGCTTCGGAAGGCACGTTAAGCCGTTGGTCCCGGCTGCATCTGATTAAATTGTAAATTAAATTGAATCAGTGTTGATAGATAGCCGAATCTTCTTTAATAATAATAATAAACTTTATTGCATATCACAAGTGTGTACATGGTATTTGGGGTACAAAAGGTTTTATTACATGTGACGCCCTGCAAGGGCATAGCAATTTTATGGTAGCATGCAATGTAAAAAATATTTTTAATTGTAGATTAATGATTAGATTAATTCAAACTAAAATCAACTCACATGTCAAATATTAAATTAAAATTTCATTTCATTAAAATATATCTTGTAAATAACAAGTATAATACATACAATATAAAAGTAAATTTAAAATGTCTATCATTATAAGACTAAAATTTAATTTCTAATTTCATTAAAAAAATATAAAAAATAAATAGTACATAATAAAAATAATAAAGTAATAATACTTTAATAAAGTTCTACTAACCTAGCGACCAACTTATAAATGTTACGCGTGGAGTTAGTTAGGTTATAAATAAAGGTTCACTGCTCGTTCCCCGTAGGTGATAGCGTGATAATATGTAGCCTATATGTTGACCGGGCTTCTTTATAATATTCGTGGCAAATTTGAAGTAAATCCATGCAATACTTTTTCAGTTTATCCCGGACATACATACAGACAAAGAGACAAAATTTCAATTTCAATTTCAATTGAAAAAACTATATTTTTGGCTTCGGTATCGATTGTAGATCACACCCCAATTTTCTTTAAAAAAAATATTCAATGTACAGTTTTGACTTTCCTACCATTTTATTATATGTATAAGATGAGTAACTTATCACAAACCAATATTGTTTATTTATTTGAATTTGGTTTTGAACTTATGTATCACACCGTTACAAGGTTACAATGATAAACAGAATAACAACTAATATTTATGATTTTATTTATTTTTTAAGCATTTAACTGCTAGATGTTTAAATCTAAAGAAAAGTTTACTAGAAAAAAATCCACGCGGACCAGGCAGCGGACGCGACTCGAACCCGCATCCTTCGCTATCCGGGCGAATGCACTGACCATTATGCTACCACGGCCCTATTAGCCGCGTCGAAATTTTCCTAGCCTTAAGCTGCAAGGCAGCGCCATCTCTTCGCATTGTAGGTAACCCACAATGTCAAATGAATACTTTTTCAAGTATTAAACATTTGAAAGAAGAAATAGCATTTATAGTTATGATTTTATTTATTTTTTAAGCATTTAACTGCTAGATGTTTAAATCTAAAGAACTAATATTTAAACTAATGACCCGCAGGGGCGTGCACGCGTCGGCATCGCTTGAAGTTTGTTTTGTTTGAACTAATCAAGTCACAACTTGTTAATGCTCAGAAATTGATGCATTTATTGACACGTTTGCTAGCGTCTAGTGAGTCAAGTTATTCATTTTGTAGTTGTGTATTTATTTCAGCCGTCAGTAAAAGCAAAATGAAACCCTTTAAAAACCGCTAAATTGATTCAAAACCTATTTGATTTCTCTTTTTAGGAAAACCGGTTTTTTAAGGTAGAGCCCTAATGCACTTGACACTGATTAAGGTTTGAAAATTAACCGGAAAGCAAGCCCTGGTAACAGCACGCTAGCAGGGCTTGAAACCGGTTTCAAAAATACCGGTAAATAAAAGTTAATACCGGTTTTAGTAAAGGTTTCGTTCGGAGCTCGTCCGAAATGAAAGTGGTACCTAAAACCTTAATAAACCGGTTTAATCCAGAGCAGCACGTACACGTGTCGCCATCGCTTAAAGTTTGTTTTGTTTGAACTAATCAAGTCACAACTTGTTAATGCTCAGAGAGTGATGCATTTATTGACATGTTTGCTAGCGTCTAGTGAGTCGAGTTATTCATTTTGTAGTTGTGTACTGACTGCTGAAATAAATCAGCCGTCACTAAGAGCGAAATGAAACCCTTTAAAAACCGCTAAATTGATACAAAACTTATTTGATTTCGCTTTTTTAGTAGCGGAGCATCAAAACGCAAAAAAACTCATTTATTCAGTGTAGGCTGTTACAAGCACTTGTTAAAGTCAAACGCTACGCCATCGGTTCGTAAATCTACGGCGGGAGACCTTGTACCGAGAAGAACCGGCAAGGGCTATTTTTTTCTCCCTGTTTTGTTTCATACAGTGTCGTCAATTGAAAGATGACATAAAAAATTTAAAACATGTGTTGATGTCAACTTCCGTCACATTAATATTGTTAAATAACAAAAGTTAAGTACAGCTAAGTACTATTTTTAAATTTAGAAGTGGCGATTATACAATTTTGAACCAAATTAGCAAAGTAAAACGACTTAGGCCCGTGTTATAGAGAGATTACTGAGAGTAATGAATCTAGGCCTGAGCATATATAGAAAGGGATGTCGCTATATATAGCACATAGCGACATCCCTTTCTAACTGTACTCAAGTTAAGATCAACACTTAGTCGTCATTATAAATATACTTATATACATATATAAGTATATTTATAATGACGTACATACATTATATGTATTCTATCCGTTACCCTAGCATCCCATAACACAAGCCTTATAGTGCTTACTTTGGGGCTAGGCTAATTGGTGTGATTGTTGGAAATATTTATTTATTTATTCTGTAATAAGGGCCTTAGTCTATTATATTAAGCCCAAGGTGACTGATCATTTATGAAATCTTTAACAGCATAGTAACCTTTAGTAAGGAGACATGTTTTTATAAATACTTTAAACTTATTAAAAGAATCATCAATGGAACATTATAATAAAAATATTCCATTTGTGAGATTCCGTAATATTCCATTTGTGAGATTCTGTAATATTCCATTTGTGAGATTCTGTAATATTCCATTTGTGAGATTCCGTAATATTCCATTTGTGAGATTCTGTAATATTCCATTTGTGAGATTCTGTAATATTCCATTTGTGATATTCTGTAATATTCCATTTGTGAGATTCCGTAATATTCCATTTGTGAGATTCTGTAATATTCCATTTGTGAGATTCCGTAATATTCCATTTGTGAGATTCCGTAATATTCCATTTGTGAGATTCTGTAATATTCCATTTGTGAGATTCTGTAATATTCCATTTGTGAGATTCCGTAATATTCCATTTGGGAGATTCCGTTGCGTGCACTGGATAAACGGATAAAGTTACACAAAGATCATGTATGACGGAATTGTTCCTATTTAAAATCCCCATCTTATTACTTGTCTAGGCAATAGTAAGAACCTGCTGTCCAAAATTCATCATTCTAGGTCCAACCGTTTCAATAGTGAGTTGATGAGTGAGTCAGTCAGTCTTTCAGTGTATCCTTTTCTCTCTTTATATAATAGTACTAGCTGACCCAGCGAACTTCATACCGCCCATAAAAATAGGGGCAGGTTGTAAAAGAGAAAATTTAGGGTTGTGTGTATTTTTTAATACCACATTATAAAAAAATAAATATTGTCCAAAAAATATTTTATGGGTATGTAACGTAGTGTTCTATCAATTTCCTGGGATAACATTCCTCCTAACCCATATGAAAACACTATGTTACAATACCCAATAGTTTAAATTTTAGCGCGAAGGGGCATAGGTTTCAGAACAGGTGGACAACCATTATCACTTAAGGATATGAAAAATAAATAGCCGATGCCGGCCCCAACACCCAAAGAGGCTGCCATGACATCCACTGTCCAACTAACACCAAGTTCTTTGCTATAGATATAGAAAGTATAGATTTGAACGTTCGTTACCGATCACGCAAAAATGACTGAACGTTTGGCACTGATGATGAAAATGATTGAGCATCTACCATAGATAGAAACACATGCGCAGGAACAATTTTTCTACTGCGCCAGTTTCTATGAAAACTTAGCAGCCTCCCCCCCCCCCCCCCCCCCCCTGCAAAATATGACGATGACGAAGCAGTTATTGATCTGACAAACTTCATACTTCAGTCTCTGAATCGAGACATACCAGCACATACACTCTAAAGAAACTTATTTTTTTCATACAGACTATAAATTAATACATAATGCTTGGTCTCCGAGTGCTCCTCTACTGTGCGCTGGTGAGCTGGTCTGCCGCGCAAGTCCAGAGGCGCCTGGGCAAGCTGCAAGAGGTGTTCGCGTGGAAACAAGTCACGTTTGATATAGATGGCGTGTTGGGTGAGTGATGCTTTTTACCAATAAAACTTACACTTATGGATCAGATACACGATTACACTGACACTCGACACAAATGTCGATTGCGTCCATACGGTATGCAATTTGTGTAATTGTGTCAACATTATAGTCAACATCTAGAGTCCCGGTTCAAGTGTATTGGCTGACTGACGCACGTCCTGCCTCCACGGCTGCAACACGAACACTGAGCGATATTGCCACTACATCTGCAACTAAGTGTCACGGCAGTGGATACACAGAGACAGTCAATGTTTACACGGAGTGTCTCGTGTCTGTTGTCGTCGTGTATTCTTACCATTACGCCCAGTTTCTGCAAGGTTTGCCATGCCAATACCAGGCATTGGTTACCAGGTTAGATCCCCGATGGAGTTTCAACGAGCTCTTCAAACTCCTCGCTTCACGGCTGTGCGCCGCCGCAGCCGCACTCGGCAGGGTCTTTCCAAACGTGGAGGGACCAGGAGATACGTGCCGTCGACTGTATCACGGGGTGATACGATCGATGGCACTTTATGGAGCCCCGGTTTGGGCAGAGTGCCTCAAACCCCGCACGCTGGCCTGCGGTGACAACCGCAGAGGACCATCGCGAGCCGGGTCGTGCGAGCTTACCGCACGGTCAGCCACGGCGCCGCCTGCGTACTCGCGGGTATGACACCGTGGGATCTCGATGCGCAGGTCCTGGCAGACATGCATCGAGGTCGGGTCGAAGCCAGGGAGCGGGGTGAAAGACCTACCCCAGCAGAGCTGCGGCAGGTCCGTTCCATCGCGCAGGCAGAGGCCTTGCGGCGATGGGATGAGGCACTCGCCCATGTAAGCGCCGGCCACCGGACGTTTGAGGCCATTCGTTCGGTGTTAAAGAGTGGGTGGGTCGCCGGCGCGGTGGCCTCTTGTTCCGCATGGTGCAGGTACTGACTGACCATGTCGCCCGTCGGGAGGAAACGCCGCAGTGATGACACCTTGCCGGAGTGCTCGGCCTGGCGGCAGCAGCACCGCGACCTGATTGCGGCGCTGGAAGGCGTAACCCTCTCGCTGCGGAGCATGGAAGAGGTCATGCTCCGTAGCGAGACGGCATGAGAAGCAGCTGCCTCCTTCTGTGAGAACGTTATCTCGCAGAAGGAGGCAGCCGAGAGGAAGCCGGAGGATGATCCCCTGGCCGCTCCCTCACGCCGAAGAAGAGCGGACAGGAGAGGATGAGTGCGTGCCCTGGTTGCGCCCGTCCCATGACCCTGCCCGCGGGGATCCCTTGACGGCAGCCCCCCTCTTGTAGTTCTGTCCTGCAAAGAGGGGGGCGGCGGAGGGAGCTACACGGGCACGCCCAAGTAGTCCTCCGCAGCAGACGGGGGGCGGTACGATGGGCACTAGGCCTCGTATTCAGCCCCCACGCGTGGGCCATCCTGCGCACGTCTGCGGGGTCCCCGCAATACCTCGGGAGACCCCTGCCGTGGAGCCCCGGCTAAGCCGGGATGCTGCTGAGACGCGGAAGAATCCCTAAACGGGGATCCCGCGGTTTCGCACTAAGCAGCTTAGAGGGTATTCGTAAGGTTTTTTAGCGGATATTATGCCGTAAAACGCCCGTAAGAGTTACGGGGTCCTCAGTGGGCAGCCACTGCGGGGGCTCGTAAGGCTTGCGGGAGCCAGGTGTGAGGTCCATTCGGCGGTGTGCCTCTGTAAACAGAGGTTTTGCCTGCATCACAAAAAAAAGGGTGCAGCTAGTAACAGTAAAAATCCACCATAATTTTCTTAACACGTGCAAAATTCTATTGAAATCTTTATGATTTTTTGTGCTTTATATAATATACGTATATATAAAGCACTGCTTTATATATGACTATCCAATACCAAAGCCCTCGTGAATCTATATTAGCTAGGATGATTTATTTTGATAAATCGAAATTTCACGACAATCCTAAGATTTTTTCTGTGGTGCTCGCTACGCTCACTCGACTCGCGTGTCATGGTCACAACACTAATATAACACTTAAATAAAATAATCTAGTGTGAACACAAGAACCCAAAAACCCAAGAATATTTATAATAAGCCAACGCTTCTTTTCGAGATCTTACTCAGGCGACTCGCGTATTCACAAAATTCCTTTATTTTTTCAGTAAGTTTGAGAATAAAATTGTCTTCGTCATTGTTTAATTATCCGCGGTTTGCAAAATCACTAGGATTTTCGCGAAAATTCGATTTATAAAATCGTTGTAGGTACGACATGATTATATATTTCGCGATATCAGACTCAAATGTATTCTAAAGAGAAGATCTGTTGACCTTGGGGACTTGTTATTCGCGAATATTTATGCAAACGCGCATTTTAATGAAGATAAATTTCTCTTCACATAATTATAACCATTTCTCTTCTCATCCATCAAATTTAATGTTACTCGTTCAACAAGAAAACTATGCGAAAATAGGTATATTACTATATTATTAATATAGTAGGTCATGAGAGTTTGCATCAATTAGGCTGCGTTTCCACCAGAGATGTACGAGGATGCATAGTGAGGGGTGTGTTTGTAAAGAACCAATAGAATCGCTTCATTTACCTCGCCACGGTCAGCACAGCTCTGGTGGAAACGGCTCAGCGGAGCTAGATTTTTGCGCATACAAAACAAGCGAGGAATGTGTGCGAGGGATGTGTTGCGAGGAATGTGTGTTGAGAAGGATGTGTTGCGAGGTTTGCGCATACTGAACCAGCCAGTCTATAGACGGAGTTTGTTGGAAGTAGAAGTGCACAAAATAGATATGGATAATTGGAAAAAGAAGATACTTTTATTTTTAACAATTTGCGATGAAGAAATGGAAGCAGAAGATACGGAGCTTATTAGTTCTATAATTTTGAGCAATAGAAGAACACATATCACAGCTTCGCAACGCATCCTCGCACCACACATTAATGCGCATTTTCACAGCTCCGCTACACATCATCGTAGGCACATTTTCATCGCACAGCTTTGGTGGAAATCCCTACACATTTTCACAGCACAGCTAGACAGCTGGTGGAAACGCAGCCTTATGGTCACACTCAGAGTTGTGAATTTGCCTGTATTATGCACACCGACAACTAGCATCGTACCTGTGTACGACTTATCGTGTTTTGTTATGGTAGCCATACACACTACGAGAATTCGTTACGATCAGACTGTACAGTTCGAACGGAACAGTTTATCGTACGTGGCGTACGTATAGGAAACTGTGCAGTTTTATAACATACACGCTACGATTTATCGGTACCGTTCGGACGGTACAGTCTAATCGTAACGATTTCTCGTAGTGTGTATGGCTACCATTAGATATTGGCGAGTAAACGTTATAACATTTATATTATATTATACAATTTTGACGACCTCCGTGGCCGAGTGGTTTGTACGCCGAGTTTCATGGGTTCGAATCCCGGTGGGGGCAGATGTTTGTGTGATGAATACGAGCATTTGTACTCCAGTCATGGATATTTAATATGTATTTCTATATAAATATACTTATATATGTACAGTATATGTATTCTATCCGTTACCCTAGCATCCCATAACACAAGCCTTACAGTGCTTACTTTGGGGCTAGGCTAATTGGTGTGTGTTAAAAAAAAATAAAAAATTTACATTCTTACTTGTAAAATTTAATGAGCTATGGAAATTGTTGTGCATTGTATATTTGCGCTGTTATGTATTATTTATTATCTATAACCCATAATAACTTTTAGGCAGGTTAAAATATAACTTGACCCTATAATATTTATGTAAATTCTGGAGTAAATAGAATGTTTAAACTTTATTAATAAGATATCAATGAGAAATAACAGTGTAATTCCATGGTTTATTTTGGTTTTCGAGTATTTCTGAATACTTAATGTATAATAATAATATGCGGAGAACTGGAAAAGTATAATTTACGAATATCAAACTACGTATTGACGGCTTAAGTGACAGTATCCGGACAAACCCAATGTGGGTTTTTGTGGTACTTTTTATTAATAACTGTATTTTGTATAAAAATAAATGAAAAAAAAAATAAACTTCATGCTTGTCACGTCTTGTTGTCTCATTCTATTGCTTGTGTGTTCTTGAAAATTTCAGTAGCCCATCGCGTGTTTATAGTTAAAATGAACTTTTAGATTAAAATATACTTTGTAATATTTCCTTTGTCACCTCAGAAATATAAAAATCAAAGTTACTTTTTATTTTTCGGAGCGTGTGAAAACACAATATTTAAAAACATGGGATAAATAGAATACTTAAATATTAGTAAAGATGCAATAAAATGTGAAATATACAATACAATAAGGGAAGATAAAGATATGGTACGCTCATACTAGCATCAAATAAAATATGCTCCGACTCAACTATATAAGCAACTATCATACACGCACACGTCTGTAAATAAACATTCAATCGAGCGAGCGAGACAGAGCTGTACGCTTCAACACAGCACGAGCGAAACGGCGAGTCTGTGGCCGAATCCGCACGGCTGAGTTGTAGTGTTGTCCTTTTCTTAATAACAAAATGGCGATTACGTAAATAACATTCACTACAAACTGGGATTTTTTGAGAAAAAAAATGTTTTTACAGTTTTACTAATGAAAAGTATTGCCGAGGCATTTGTTATTTGATTTTTAACTATTTTAATTTTTATTTAAAACATTAAAGACATAGTTTTATCTTTATAACACAGAATATACGCAATATTGTTATATTGAGTGCACATGCAGCGTGTTTGAATGTCTAATTGTAACTAAAGAGAATTGTGGTCATGCACCACAATTTAAGCGGATCACATTTGAGCCGCGTGTGTCGTATCTTCACGTTTTGTTTTAATCTAATGTTAGAAGTCTTACCTGGGAAAAAAGAAGAAATACCTACTATAATCCTGAATACGAACACATTTTTGTATTTTTTATCATTCTAATTATTTGAAGGTGTTTTAAGTACCTTGTTAGTTTAATATGTGCTTTTTATCAATGAATATACTAGTATCACGTTTTACAGGT